ACCGGCCATTTTCAGGAAAAATGGGTGTCATAATATTTAATGGAATCCCTCAGTTTCATCACCTTTGATATAGTAGGTATATGATTATAAAAATCCTCAATCTTATATAGGACGACTAACAATAATGTTCTCCAATAAAGTGTCACTATTTCACCTAACGCTACGGACTCACGACGCGATTTTTACCTGCGCCCGCCGCTGTGGCAGAAAGGAGCTTATATTCAAAACTCACGAGACCGCATCTTTCTGCTTTCCTACAGCCTCCGCGGTTGCGATTATCGCCCGAAAACTTAGCAGTTTATTATCGCAAGACGGTTAAACAATCAGTTAAACACTCCCATTGCGATCGCCCGCCAACCAATAGCAGAGTACACGGGTGCAACCCGCACCGGTGCAGCGAGAGATGCAAATAATCGGGGCGTAAAACGTGTTGTTAATTAATGTTCTTTAATTTCTTACATACATAGATATCTGTATTCTACAAAGGCTGCGGGACCGCAACCGCAGTGGGCGGGAGATAACCGCTTCGTGAGTCCTAGACTTTTTTTAAAAGAGTAACGAATGGAGTTTCTTGCTCGTTCTTCTCCACTCGAATCGACATTTTAGAACGAGCGCCTAGCTTCACTGACGGACAGACTGACAGACTATTATTTATTTCATATTTGTTGACGTTTCAAAAATACTAAATTATGGTTTAATTGAAATAAATGCTTTTTGTCGGAATACTGAAACGTTACTCAATTTTAAGTGTAGGAGAGCCATGCTTCGGCAAGAATGGGCCGGCTCAACTGGAGTGATACCACGGCCTCACAGAAAACCGACGTGAAGCAACGCTTGCATTGTGTTTCGTCGTGTGAGTGAGGTTACCGGAGGCCCAATTACCTTCCCCTTCCCCAATCTCCCAGATCCCTGAATCCCCAACGATCCTCAAACTCCTAATCCCCAAAAAGCCGGTGACGCACTTGTAACGCCTCTCGTGTTCCAGGTGTCCATGGGCGACGCCGATTGCTTACCATCAGGTGATCCGTCTGCTCGATTACCGGCTTATGCCATAAAAAAAAAGTCATGCTCAAATATCATGCCATCTCTGTCATTTTACAAAGAATTTGTAGAGATAGAACTGTACTTAAGCACGACTTAAAATTGAGTAGCGTTTCAGTATTTTGACATTAGAGTTTTGAGTTTGAGTTTGAATCAGTTAAAACGTTAAGCGTCAAAACTTAACAGACAGAGAGTAGACAGATATAGTAAGTAAACTAACAAACAACATTAAAATGGACAAACAACAATATCAGTAAAGCCATAAGCTACAACGTCCAGATAAATTACGATCCCATCTTGCAACTTGAATGACAAGCAATTATCAAGACTCAATATTTGAGTGTCAAAAACAATCAAAGTCAAAGTCAATGTCAAAAGTGTCTGGTGTCATTCTGCGGGTGACATAATCGAGATGGATGCAATCCTTCCTGTCTCTTCTTAGACAAGATCAATATGGAGCTGAAGTATATGCTTAAGATGGGGCCATGAAGATAGCGGGTAAACATTATAAAATGTCTTCTTTGTTCCTAAAGGCTATTAGTTTTCACGATAAACAAGACTAATTATTATTATTTGACGAGGAACTCGACTAGTTCCAAGCCAGGCTAGACGCGCATTACGTGAGTTAGCAGAAAAACATAATAATTAATTTAGTATGTCTCACGAATGTTACAATATAAGATTAACAAGTCTGTTGATCGTGAAAGCTGATCTTGATTATGACTCTCTAGAGTAGAACCCATTTTGTCATTACTCTTTCTCTTATCACAGATGGCTTAAGAACCAACTAAGACGTCGTCCGTTCTCGGACTAACCTTCTAAAGGAGGCACCGCTGACGCGTACACTCCGCACGCTCAACCTCATAGCGAGTGAGACGGACTTATTCTACTGTTCTCTGAGTGAATTCACAAGGAATAAATAAAAAAAGTAAATAAATACATAAAAATAATAATTTTATTTATTTCTCTCATCATCATTTACATAGTAAAATACAACAAACGTTTTACAACTAAACCTGAGACTGGTGTCTGTTATAGGTGAAACCTGCATCACAGATCACCGATAATATTATTTACTGAGTTCTAATCTAATAATAAACATGTTGAAGAAAGACCAAATTAAAAGTACTCTTAACCGACGAGCATGTATGAAAAGGTTTATAACTGTCGATGAAACGAAAGAGGTATGTAGGAATCGTAGCAATTGGCGTTCCATAGTCTCTGCCTACCACCAAGGGAGACAGGCGTCAATTTATGTATGTATGGATGTATGAATACTTATCGAGATTTTATTGAATTTAAATAGAATTGACATTGAGATTGGTTTTAATAGTCGAAAAAGCCGCTGCTTTCATGGCCCCCGCTAGATCAACTGCGTAAATACCTCCCCTGGTTGTAAGGATAAATGCTTTGACATTAATCTGAGGTACCGTCATCCCCCCTCCTTCGTGGAAGGCGGTATGATGATGGACGCTCGTCTTTTGTTAAGAAAGTGTCTTAGTAACACCTATTTGCATAGGTACTTATAATGTCGAATGTTCGTACGTGTTCGCGATTTCGAAAATTCTATAAAATCTGTACTGGTGCATAACCGCGCTCATTTGTTCGAGATTCATCAGACCGGCAATACGTTAGACCTGGCAACCAATATTCCTTTTTAATTATTGTGGTACAATTCGTAAGTAAGTACTGATAAACGGCAAACAATGAAACCTTTTTAATTTTCCAAAATCTAAATAATCTCAAATGTTTAAGGTGCTTTAATAAAGTTTTTAAACACAATTCCTTTTCATAATAATAATATAGACTATAAAAGTAATTACAATATTTTTATTACTCTTTTTGTAAAGGACATGCTATGTGTTTTTAATTAAATAAATATTTATAAAAGTAGTGGCAATGTGGCCGTTACGAGAGTAGCCAGAAACAGTTTTTTAACTCTGCAAACCATCACATAATTACAACTTGATGTCAGAATAAAAAATAAAATAATTTAATTATTGTTCTGTGGTCCAATTCGTGAGCTTAAGTTTTTTTTTTAATATGTTTTTTTAAGGTAGTTTTTTTTTAATATGTTTCCGTGGTCATGTTATGGTTATATACGCGTTGCTGCCATGCATAGTGACATTTCGCACCTCTAAAGTAAAATAGTCATTAAACGAAAATATTTTAGAATTGAATATTTACATGAATTGACTGTTTAAACATGTGTTTGGAGGAGGGTTGTGCATCAAGTGACGCGTGCACCAGACTAGACACGACCTTCAGTAATGAAGAAGACGACTAGGAAGAAGAGTATTGAAGATTTGTCAAATATAGTTGTTCGGAAACGTCTCGGACGTCTCGATGACGTCGATGGAGACGGCACTGGCGGTGGCATCAGAGGGGGGACAGCGCTGCGCGGGGAGCAACATGTACGAGGACGAGGATCGCGCCCCGTTTTTTTCCACTCGATCAGCTGTGAGCACTGTACGCGTTGCGCGCCGTATATTTGTAAAGGCACACCTACCTTCTGTCGAATAAACCAGTACCTAGACTTTTAATCAGCATCATCATTTATACAGTCCAAAAAACTCTCCTTAACAATAGTTATTCCTCCGTTAAATTGAACAACATGGTATATCGTTTGAGAGTGACATTATGTTATTTTATCATCCCAACAAAAATTAACTTTCCGTTTATACCTCAAACCGTAGCCAAAAACAACAGCTCTCATCATAGAGCAACGCGTTTAAATGAAATAAAGTCAGGCTCCATGATTTAAGGTCGTTTCAACTCCGCTAACGAAATAAAGTTTCGCCAAGGAACAGTCGGCCGACCGACACGATGATTTACTGCGGCCGCCATTTTATTGTATGAGGTGTACTTTAATTATGTTAATTATTTTTATGTTTATTATTTACAGGTTTTAAGTGTGAATGTCTTTGTTTTGTGTACCGAGTTTCGCGAGATGTCATTTTTATGTTGTGCTAACTGTACTACTCTTAATTCGAACTACTCTTTCGTTTTTCGAGTGTCCCAAGCAAAGGGTCTCTGGTGTAATAAGTGGGTCAGGTAAAATCCTATTCTCATCCTTATTACATCCATCCATTTTAAACGGTCAAACACCGCGAGGATACCGGTGACCGCAACCTACTGTTCCTTAATTGTGTCTATAATGACGGTACTCAAAGGGTTAATTGGGTTTATTTTTATCTTATTAGTAGTTGACCTCTGAATTTGTGCTGACATCTAAGTTTGTGTCGGTATTTCTTCACAGAGTATTCCGATAGCAAGTGTCGGTTTCATGTAGTTATTTACAGACTGACATGTAAAAGTGTTATTTTGTAATCTATTTGTAGAAATAAATATTATTTATCATTTGTGCTTGGTGTATAGCAATAGGTCTCTTAATACATAGAAGTCATACCAAGACTTGTGGGAATAATTAAGTGTCCTGTACAAGTCTACCTCCTTGGCGATTAATAGGTGTGACGTTGGCGTTTTAGAAATATTAATAGGTACCTAGGTAATACCTATTTCACTATCTACTATTTCTAGTACCAACATCACATACCAACAAAACATACATAACATACATAACATCACGCCTTTTATCCCCGAAGGGGTAGGCAGAGGTGCACACAGAAGTAAAACCCACTTTTCACTATTTATGTTACGAGTCCCATGTAATAGGGGGTGAGCCTATTGCCATATACCGGGCACAAATCCAGACTCCGTGCTACTACTGAGATTTTTTTTTAAAAACCCAGTAGTACTTTGGTCGACCCGGGAATCGAACCCGAGACCCCTTGCCCGGCAGTCGCACTTGCGACCACTCGGCCAACGAGGCAGTCTCAACCAACAGAACAGGACCTCTATTATCCACATAGCAAACAACAAAAGCGAAGATGTAAGTCCTAAGTAAAAATAGTTGAGAGTTCTGAACCGTAGCGTAATCAAAAGCGGTATTTTCTCAGGTGTCCACACATTGGTGGAGTTCTCAAGTTGTTCACAAAGTTTGACCAGCTGGCGATCCGAGCGAACAACCTCATGTCTCCATCTAACTTTGAGGAAATAAATTGAATTGAGGTGGTGACGTAAGCTTGTGATTGTGACGTCATGTTATCTGTGTGTGAATGGTGTTATCGGTAAATGGAAGGTGAAAATGGTGACTAAGATTTGAGGTATAAATTGTTAGATTTTCTCCTGTTAAAATTCACCTCTATGTATGATGAGAATATGACTTGAATTCATTTGTGATTTCGTCTTTCATTGTTCTTTCTCATTTTTATGTTAGTTTAATGTTAGTAATATACCACAAGCCATTAACCATACGAACCATTTTTGATTGAAAGCCAAGCCAGTTCAATATTTGTTACGTATTATTTTTATCTTTACCCTCATTTTTATTTACGATTATTTACTAAATTAATACGTATACCGTCACTAAAATAATATTTAATATCAATTTGTGCGTGATGGACGAATGTTTTATTATGCACATTAATATGAAATTACCTACACATGTATATTATATCACGCTGTAAATGATTTGTATCGATGTGTGCGAAGCTATCAGCATTGCCGTGTGTACATGATATCTAAGTTTGAGTTGGTTGCATTAACGTAAATCTGTCCAAATAAAGAACTGCAATCCAGGTTTTTTTTCGGCTTTTAGGGATTTTGAGTTTGAGGATTGTTAGGGATTTTAGGAATTGGAGAAATTAAGGAAGAGGTTAGGGTAGTTAGGCCTCCGGTAACCTAAATTCCACAACGAAATACAACGTAAGCGTTGCTTTACGTCGTTTTTCTGTGAGGCCGTGGTATCACTCCGGTCGAGCCAGCCCATTCGTGCCGAAGCATGGAAAATGTGCCGAAGACTTGGGGAAATGTGAACCCTAAACCCAACTAAGGTTATCCCTTCAGTGTGCTAAAACCAAAAACTTCACTCAAATTATACCAAGCACATTTTTAATTTAAGTTAATACAATATATTATGACTATCTCATTGGTCGCGAGTGCGACTGCTGGGCAAGGGGTCTCGGATACGATTCCCTGGTCGGGCGAAGTATTAATGAGTTTTTTAAAAATTCTCACTAGTACCACGGAATCTGGCATTGTGCCCGGTATATGGCAATAGGTACACCCCCTATTACTTGAGACTCTAACATAAATAGTGAAAAGTAGGTATTACATTGTACAGTGGCATTAAGTGCCGTAATGTGCACCTCTGTCTATCCCTTTGGGTGTAGCGGATAAACTAACAGGTTACCGGGGCTCCGGCTCGTAGTGCAGGAGAAGGAACGGGGTGGTTTTTAGTCAGTAAGAATCTGACACTCCCTCTCGCCTCACCCAGGCGGGAGAAGACAAGTGATGATTTTCCGCCCTTAAAAAAATCCCTTTGGGTACAAAAGCTGATTTTATAAGTCGATATACATACAGTATATTTTGACTTAGAATATTCACCCACTACACTGGATTAGAACTTATCTCTCCATCTCCACAACATCTAACTAGCTACATCAACATACAACATACAAAGTTGTGGCATATACGACTAGTTTCCACTGTTGTCATATGCCAGATGTGCGCAAACTTTAGTAAACTTGAACCTTCTGATTATTATCCTGACTGTACAATGTACATGATATGATGTGAATATGACTGGAGTGTAGTTACTTTCTTAAGACACTTGTCTTGTTTTGGCAGTTGAGTGTGAAATTTTGATGCAGTAGCAGAAAGCATAACATTCCGTTTTTTTATTTTTCATTGGTTTAGGTAATCATCGTCAGTTTCAAGAAGTTTTGTGAATAAAAATGTCGTCGTCATTTCTGCGACTCTGACAATATCATCTATTTTCAAATAACATCGTAAATAACGCCTTTTATCTCTGAAGGGGTAGGCAGAGGTGTACATTATGCCACTGTACAATGTAACACCAACTTTTCACTATTTATGTTATGAGTGCCATGTAATAGGGGGTGAGCCTATTGCCATATACTGTGAATTTTTTGAAAAACACAGTAATACTTTGCCCGCCCCGGGAATCGAAAATAAATCAGTTCTACAAACTTAGATAAAGCGGTGATAGAAAACTAGTGATACATTAAGTTGAGACATAGAGTTAAACAAACAGATTGTACAATAATGAACTGTATTCCCAGGTTGATGTGAAAGTTTTTGCCTTTATTGCACACTTGAACAACTGACGCCAAACTTACTTCACGATGACGTCATTGTTACGTCATTATGACCGCGTCTATTTTCATTCATTGCTTTCAGTTGTTCGAAACTTTTTACGTCTGTTTCCCAAAGCGCAATTATGGGAAACACGGAATTAAGTGCATGCAATCTAAACGTCATAAGGGTGAGTTTCCTGTAACTACTTTCGAATGGGGTTTCTTTTTCGCACCTAACTCATTAATTAAACGACTGTTAAGAAAGTGACCATTGGATAGACTACTAAATATAACTTAACAGTGTCAAATAATGACTAAAGTGTCTCCAAAATTAGATACATTTACGTTAATTATAATGTTGTCATCCATAGACCATGACGGTCTACTGATAGCATATGTGCCGCCTTTAGAAATGAGTGGTTTCCCATAATCTCCATTTTTTGAGGGGGAAATCATCCAATGTTGTTTTATATTGTTTTTATTGTTTTGGTCTTATTGTTTTTTTTTTTTTTTTTTTTTTTTCAATGTTATTTTGTTATTATTTTGTGTGTAATTCGGTGGTCCATGTCTAGTGGCGAATAAATTATTTTTCTTTCTTTCTTTCTTTCTTTCTTTCAATGACTTTTCCCACCCGGGTGAGGCGAAAGGGTGTGTCAGACTCTTACTGACTATAACCACCCCGTTCCTACTCCTGCACTTCGAGCCGGAGTCCCGGTAACCCGTTAAGTCTTCCGCGGCTATAATCTTCAGGCTTCGGTGGTAGATCACAGTTTAAAAAGATCAGGTTAATAGAGCTAGTGTTCCGTCTCTGTTAAATAGTAGTCCCTAAAGACAGATTTTTCAATCATCATTTATTTCTTAACTGTAGAATAAAATTAACTTTTGACAGTTTTTAGTACGGTAGAATTATCAAACTTTTTTTTAATTCAGTGTCCCATACTAGGATTTCCTCCAGTGTCGTGGGTGCGTTTACAAACATACAATTTCACATACACATGACACTCATACCCGGAACAACAATCTGTGATCACACAAATGGTTGTCATGTACGGGGATCGAACCCGCAACACGTTGCGTGGCCGCCAGTTACCCAGCCACAGCGCCAACCGTGCATTCAAAGTTTAGTTAAATTTATCTGTCGTTGAAAAAAATCGACCCGGGGGTGGGTCTTTCTTATGACACCTTCGGGAGGAGTAGGACTGATGAACTGGTAACAAATATATGCTGTTCAGAGGTCACCATACAGCATCTCCAATATAATAATGAAGTTGAAACTCAATTAACACGAACACATACGCCTCATTGTGTTGCCAGCCTCAACTAGATAGTCAACTGGTCCGACAATTAACGCATGTGACGTCACAGTTAGTCTATGTTATCTTACGTAATTGATTTCTATTATGATACGTATATGTATGTCGTGGTGGCCCGGAGGTTTAAGACGCTCGCTTGTCATGCATGAGGGTTCGAACCCTTCCAACAGCAAGTACCAATGTGACTTTTTCCGAGTTATATGAGTTATGTAAGATTATCTAAACACCACTGACAAACGGTGAAGGAAAACATCGTGAGAAAACCTGGGCTTATAATTTCTAATTATAAGTTTGGAATCGCCAACCCGCATTGAGCAAGCGTGGTGATTAATGCTCAAACCTTCTCCGTATGAAAAGAGGCTTTGCTCAGCAGTGGGCATTTATAGGCTGTTGATGATGATAATAAGTGATAGATTAATAGCTGACTTCAATCCCAAACTCAATTGAAAATCTTCTGATTGAATTAGAAAATAAAGATGTTAAAGAAGATGAATTAAAGAAGGGCTAAATTACCCTTAATAATAAAAAGTACCCTTAACCGACGAGCATTTTTTTTAGGGGACAAGCCCGCCACAACCTCCCGGAACTGCTGCAACTTCTGTAAGCCAGTATCTACAGTAGATACAACCATGAAAACACCGGAACACTGGAGTCCGGCGCGTCCCAGGGACATGAATAACTGTTTTGGTTTCCGCAACGAAGTGAATCAGAAGATATTATAAGAGGAAAAGAAAAAACCGATGAGCATGCATGAAAAGACTGATGACTGTTGATGAAGTGAAGGAGGTGTATAAGAATCGTAGCAATTGGCGTCCCATAGTCTCTGCCTACCCCCATTGGAGACAGGCGTGAGGTTATGTGTGTATGTAATAAGGACATGTGACATTATTTGGACATTTCCAGGAAACAAAATTCTAAGCTTGAACCAGCAAAAATCACTAACAAGACTTTGCATTTCCCGGGTTCGGTGTCTGAGCCATTTAAGTCTGGCTTTATGCCATGTCAACAGCAATAGACTAGATTTTGATGTTAAGTGGATTTTTCATGACTTAGGTAGTGAATTTGTCTTTTCCTATAGGTTTTCTGCAATGGAATGTTTACTCCAATTTCCAAATTCACAGGAGTTCACAGATTTAAGTACCGTGCGTATTTTGTAGGTAATATCCTCTTTAATCTGGGATCTGTCTGGGCACTCATCTGGGCCAAACACGTATTTTTTATGGCATAAGCCAGTAAACGAACAGACGGATCATCTGATGGTAAGCAATCGGCGTCGCCTATGGACACCTGGAATACCAGAGGCGTTACAAGTGCGTTACCGGCCTTTTGGGGATTAGGAGTTTGAGGATCGTTGGGGTTCAAGGATTGGGGAGATTGGGGAAGGGGAGGGTAATTGGGTCTACGGTAACCTCACTCACACGACGAAACACAACGCAAGCGTTGCTTCACGTCGGTTTTCTGTAAGGCCGTGGTATCACTCCGGTCGAGCCATGGCTCTCCCACACCTAAACTTTTTAAACTTACTTTTGTGTCGATGACGCTCAAAACATTACTACCTAATGATCTGTAAATTACACTGCCTGCAAATAGT